GAGTTCTCATAACAGCTCATAAAATAATGCGTATAAGGGAACTTAAACGAATGCGTTCGAGTCGCGCCCGATGATCATAATCAAACGTCTCGCATTGAGGAGCACAATAAGTAGCCGACTTCCTCTCCCACGTTTGGTGGAGCGGATGCCTCGACTTGCGACCTCCGGCAGCGGTCTTAAGCCCCTAACACGTATAAATGGTTGTTCGGCGTATTATGGGCGTTTAAATAAACTGCGCTTACGCCGAGCGCCTGGTCATTGATCGGTTGGTTATATAAAAATGTTCGTTAGAAAATGTACCTGTCAACGTCCATTTAACCACTGTTAGACTGTTGGTTTTTTAATTTATATCTCTAAAGTATGTAATAAAAATTACATAAAAAGAGATAATATTACGATTATATCATCATAATATTAAAAAGTAACAACCATCATGATACGTATGACACTATGATTAATCACAAGTACAGTACAGCGCAGTAGAATAGCTTTAACAAAAATATTTTTTTTCTATATACAGCAAAAAAAAATGCTGTAATATGCAGATTGCTTGATTTACGTTACAAATCGTCGGTGCATTTAGCACGCTGACTGTATTGAATCCAATCGTTTACAACCGGCACGACGGCGACGTTCCTTGTCAATGAATGGTTATGAAAGGAGCGTGGCGTCCACTCCGCGTGGCGACTGTTCGTTCACCGCTATCCGCCGTACTTCACTGCGATTGAATGAATTCCGCTGCTGTAGTGTGAGAACAAAACAAATAATTACCTCTTGCCTGCGAAAATTATACAACTTATAATTCTATTACAATTACACTCGCGTATTTACATTTAACTTTTATTCTGTAATTTTTATGCAAATTTATTTTAAAATGGTTCAGGTTTACGTATAATTTTTTTTAATTATAAATGAATTTAAGCACAAAATTAAACTAACTGTAAGTTCAAACTTAGTATATACAAGTGTAAACTGGGGAAAACGAGCACAGATTATTTCAAATTTCAATCTACAATTTACAACATAAAGCACAAAAATTGCATTGTTTTTAATTTCCCCATATCTTACTTTCAAACGACAACAAGTTACGCACTGTGCGATTGGTATAAATATACGCATATTTTTTACTAAGTACTTTATTATAATATAAACGACTGCTGTGGCTTGGGTGGCCATTAGAGCACCCCAGTAACATCTAAAGTCTGAAACTAGTGTCTATATTTGACAAAGTTAAAGCCATATATTTTTAATTATTATTCAGACTACCAGACCAATCAAGAGCTAATACACAAAATAAACGGGCTTAATAATCTCACAGAAATTGTAAAACTGTGGGCTATATAACTATAATATTATATAAACAGTAGAAACTACAGATTTTTGCTATAAACAATAAAATTTGATGATCTGTTCACATTTTTATCAATTTAAAATCTCACAAGATTCATTATAAACTTAGTGTTTGAAATTTTTCATTCATTCATTCATTCAGCTATAACAGCTCTACTGTTGAACATAGGCCTGCCCCATAGACTACCTTTCTTTCTTATATACCAAAGAGTTGCTTTAGCAGGCAAGTTGGCAACTTTTTATTTTTCAATTTGTATTTATCTAGTGACGTATACATTCCACAGCTAGGATAAGATAGCCACTGATTTCTGATCCTTTACTTTAAGTAACAATTCTTATAGTATATATGTATATGTGTGTGTGTGTGAATATATTTGGTTGTTCAAGAACAGCACTTATGATTTCTATGACATTTTGTATTTACATAATGTTTACTTTCAAAGAATTTAGGTAGGTTTGATTCCTTGGAAAATCATGATTTTTTTTCTAAAGTTAAGCAATTCATTAAAAAAAAATTATTAGTTAATATAAAAATGATATGTACATAGTAATATGATTTAATAGCTCCTCTACACGAAGGGCCAGCGCTGTTCCAGCAAGATGGCCATGCGAATGTTGCAATGCAACTACACAATGGCGACATTTAGTTGTAATCAAAATGTTTTCAAGATGGACATGGAAGAATTAGCCGCTGTGGCAATACATATATACAAGTCATACTTAATGTGCACAAGAATAGAGTTATCAAAAAAAAAAGGCGTAGAAGAAGATGGGGGATGTTATTCTATCTATCCCAATAGAACTAAATATGCAATAAGTCATTTTCTTTAAACAAAAAAAAATTATAATTATATTAAAAATAAATAAATAAAAAGTTAATTATTTATATGTTCTGATTTTAGTAGCTCTATGATTAAAATTTTATAACTTCAGTAGGAGGCCACATATTCCTCATTTTAATTCGTTAATTAATATTATAAACAATATATATTATATGTTAATAAACAAAGAATGAATGTACACACTCAAACCTCAAGCGCACAACTGTGGAATGCGACACGTGTAAATGCTACCGCCATCCCTGGCCCACTACCTTGGATGTGCGGCGGAAAAACCGACAGCGTCGCCATCCCCAAGACCATCGCAAGTGCCATAAGCCATCCGACACAACTACACCCTCCACATCCTAGCCCATCATAGTGGGCCATCGCAATGGCCCATCGTGTAGAGGAGCTATAAACTGTGCAGTGGCAATGTAAGAATATCCATTAACAAAATTTGTCTCATGAATGTTGTAAGAGGTCATAGAGGGAAACTGAAACAGGAGATAGGCAGCAGTGTCTTCCTGATAATAAATCAATATTGTAAAAACTGTGGTTGTCAACCCACCTGCCAAGTGTGGTGACTATGGCTAAATGGCTATGAGGCAATCTATGGGGGACGCCTATGTTCAGCAGTAGGCTTTTATAAGTTGTAATGGGTGGACGGATAGTACGGTAGACTGACGACAGACTGGGACCGGTGGGATCTGGTAGCAACCGATAAATTTTTAAATTTATGCAAACATGCTGTTATATTACATAGTGTTTTATATTAAACAATTTCAACATAGACTACAGTGTGCAAAAAAAGTGCAAGGTTAATTCTAAATAACTTTCTGTACAAAAATATTATTAACCTGGAAACCAAACTTGAATGGAAATTAAACATTTCTTTAGTTCAGCTACTACATAAAAATACTTCATATAAAATAATTTTTTGTATTGAAATGTTTGTAAGTTTCATGGTAGATTCTCAGATAAGCAGTTATATTAATTGTCCTATAAACCTTGGAGCTATATAAAAGAGAGACAGTAGTTCCTAAAGTTAAAATAGTTTAAACTGTTGGTTTTATATAATATTTATTTGAAGAAGCTTTATGCTCTCACTCCTAAAATATTTAACAAGATCTACCGAACATACTTAAGACCTCTTTTGGAGTTTGCGTATGTGATATGGGACCCGTATTTTCGTAAAGATACAATAATACTGGAAAATGTTCAAAGGAGAGCCACAAAAATGGTAAATCAACTGCGGAACATAACATATGAGCAGCAATTGAGAAAGCTTACCCTCACAGCACTAGAGAACCGTAGGCAGAGAGGTAGTCTGATTGAAACATACAAAATACTGACAGGAATTACAATGTTCCTACTCTGCCAAATTTGTACTTACTAAATAGCAACAACGTCTGAGAGGACATCAACTTAAACTTTGCCATAGGACTGCCAAGCGGAATCCTATGAAGAATTTTATAACAAAACGTATTGTCACCAAGTGGAGTAAGCTACCACAAAATGTGATTGATGCTCCTACATTGAACGCCTTTAAGAACAGATTGGATAAAATCTCCAAACATTAAGACGCACACGCATCAGCTTTTTTAGCTGCTAGTGTGTTTATGTATAAATAATAATAATAATATTATAATTTATTTTCCACATGTATTACGCAAAGTTCTAATAATGGTAAAGTTATTTATTAGTTATTTATATGGGATGGTTTATATTGAAGATGATTATTTCGGTACCATAACCAAAAAATTAAAAATAAATTGGAAATTATTGTTTTAATCCTCACAAAAATAGTTACATGAATTATTAATTACCATAATACAATGTTCTAAGATCTTATTACATTTATGGTTAAAGATATTTATTCTCAAAATATCTCTAACTATAAATGTAATAAGATCACTAAAAATAATAAATATACATTTTACTTAAAGAGAAATTACCAATATTCATGTATTATATACGTAGGTTATGACCATACAGAAAGTAAAAAAAAAAACATTAAAAAATGGGAAGTAGAGTTTGGAGACATAAAACTTCTTACTAGTTTATATGCAACTTAATACTTCTTGTCTTTTGTTTATTTATGAACAAGTAGGTATATTTTAGAATTTTGTTTAATAAAGTGAGATATTGGGGCTATACATTTAACTCACTAGTAACAAATTACAAAATTTGTATTAAAACAAGACAATACCTGAGGTTGTTGTCTTTAATATTTAATAACCTTAATAAGAAATATTCTTTTATTGAATCTGTAATGAGTAACAATGCATACCAAAGAGGCAGTTACATATATTATAAGTTCAGTATTTTGCAAAGTATAATTCTATGACCTGGTGCTAAAAGGGCCAAAGTATGTTTTTATTAAACAGTACAGTACTGTACAGTAGCACATATTTTATTTATTAAAGAGTGTGGAAGTACACACTACACTGGCTTTTTTTTACATAGTATCTTTTGAAAGACTATCACCTTTTTAGCACAAACAAATTTCATATTTTTCAATAATGTGGCTTTAAAGTCTCATTTCTTAAAAAATGTACTTTGGCCCTTTTAGCACCAGGTCACAGAATTTATACTAGGACATTGAAATTGGATTAGCTAACTAAACAGCAACAAGTTTGTAAACACATTTGGTACTTTAGGCCTTCACCTTCTATAGCCTGTAAAGGTCCCCTGATGGATTTGTGCCTCTCCCGCTGCAGAGAGGATTTGCAGTAATTGTCACACATGATTTGATGCTGTTACTGTGACTAGGCAGCTGCAACTGTTTCATGTAATAAGAAATTTTAACATCTATATAATGTCACATACCTTCAAGGCAGACGACTTGCACGCCATCTTGTTTAAGTCTCCTCAGCAGAATACCGTGCACGGAATCAGGATCTCGTGGTGCCCCATCGCTGTACAATACAAAGGTTCCCCGAGAGCAGCAATGTGTAATTCTCGCCTTTAGCTCCTTGCATTGAACAGTTGAGGCAAGCTCTATTTTTCCCGCAGCTAACCGTCGCAACATAATACTTGGTATAGAGAAGTTCACGGCAGAACGTATGTGAGACACGGAATATTCATTAGACCCTCGACAGTCGATCAGAACTGTATCTCTCTCATCTGACCTTAGCTTTGCTAACAGCCATTCCTTAGACACCAGGTCACACTCACATTCCGAATCTGTGGGCATTTTGTAATCACAACGTTCTTTTCTATTTACACAAAATCTTTGCGCCTCTGAACTGCCTGTTGCACTCTACTTAAGCATATAAGCCACGGTAACATAAACGTTTATAAACTGAAACATCATTAGTAATGTTGAAAATAAAGTATAATTTATTTCAAAAAAAATTGTTCCAAAATGAGAAAATAACACTATCAATTTTAATAAACAATTCACAGTCTTCACCAGCCTTCACGTCCACAACGACCGAACTAGCAAAGCAAAAGCAAAGAGTAGATAGAGTCACAAACGGTCACTCACAAACTCACAAACTATTTTTTTTATTTAACTGGCTTTACGGCTCTGGGTTCTAGCCATTCTGAGCTTATGATTTCTTACAGAATCTTCATTTTTATATATTTTTTTGACAATATGCTGATGCGTCACATTGCGAAGCCCTTGGGAGGTTTTGCCGACAGCTCAACCCAGCGGACAGTTGATGACGACAGCCACTCAAGTTCATAAGGCACCCAAGCGATCAAAATAACTTGAGGTTTATATCGACAACAAAGCTCTTGTTACGTCGCTTTCTCTAATAATTCACACTCGCAGATACTTAATTCACAAAATCGCATCACTTTTACGAATCAAAGTCCACTTCAAACTATTATTCAAGCGACCAAACAGGAGCGACAATCCGTCTATGGCTAAGCTCCCGCCAAAACTCCGAGTCACAAACTAATAAGAGTACTAAAGATAGAGTACACCGTAGACTACGTTACTCTTATTAGTTTGTGACCGTAGACAGAGAATGCTACTCTGTCTACGGCATAGATTTAGTCATGAAGGTTAGAGAACAGGAGAACGATCACTACGTACTAAAGTATAACCCGCCTGTCCTTGAAAATTGTAAAATTTATAGCGTCACTGACGTCGGTGAGTATTGACTGTGAAGTTAGCCGTTTATGAGTACAAGTAGATGAAATTAGTTGAATAATGTACAAATTTTATCCGAGCATAGCCCTCTCCATAGCTCGCTGAGCGACTTTGGGAGTCCTCATACGGGCAGCAGTGAAGAACCACGTCTCGGTTCCTTAGGTCATCACTGGCAACATGCACTGGTTGTACAACTTAGTTTTTGAGGTATACCTGACAAGAAAATGTGTCGTAATTTCCCAAACGCTGTCCAGCCGAGTTGAATCCGTCGATTGACCTCTCGGTCGAAATTGTACTTACCTAGTCGGACTATTTGTCCCAGGTAAACGTACTCGTCAACAACTTCGAGCTTAGTGCTCCCAATAACTACCGGAATAGGTGTGACATGGACATTAAACATAATCTTTGTTTTGTCCATGTTCATCTTAAGACCTATCCGTTGGGAGGCACTATTAAGATCATTGAGCAGTGCTTAGGTCCTCCAGCGATTCTGCCATAAGGACTATATCGTGCGCAAATCGAAGGTGAGTGATGTAATGGCTATTAATGTTAATACCGTATTCATTCCAGTCCAGTAGCTTGAAAGCGTCTTCCAATGCAGCGGTGAAGAGTTTCGGGGAAATAACCTACGGTACCCTGCAGTACGCCGAATTGTATTTTTCTATAGGATGATACATATTTGCATTCACCTCGAAGTAACCTCGAATGCCGTATGCGTTATGTTTCTGTAATAGTATGTCATGGTTTACTTAATTGAAGGCTTTTGGCATGTCAGTATATATAGCACATACGGGGGTTCTAGTATCTACATTATTGTCCGTTCATCGTAACTTGACGTGTAATCCGATTGGCAGCCCTGTAATTTACAGTGTTGAACGTTTCAATGCGAATGGCGTTTCGGAACTGTAGGGACAGGCATTATGAAACGGGATATAAGAACATATATGCATGCATCTCAAGCACAAGGTTGCGAGATCAAATTTGGTGTGTACATTCAAACGCACTTAGCGCTTACAGTTAAGCCTTTCTTATTTCGTATGAGTAAGGGCATTAATTTCTTAATTCAACTGTTACTACGGAGGTGCTGATGACTATACATACGCGACTTTTTAAGTGTCGTAGTGTACTCTCTAAAATAATTCACATATCAATAGAAACATTCGGGACAAATTAATTAAGACAGGGTTAAAAAGAATCACTTTATATAATTATGATTAATAAGATGTAAAGGGATCGTATCTTCTTCAATGTTACTTGAATGCTCACTGTCACTACCACTTTCGTCACTGTCACTGCGAACCCACAATAAAAAGTGATCACTTTCTTCATCTATTATTTTATCTTTCACTATGTACTCATCTTCAATTTTTATAACATGTGAGCACTTTTTATTCCAAAGCTCATCGCTTATTGAGCCAAACAATTATTTTATACTCGTAAGTTATTATACACTTAACCGTCTCTTATATTAACTCAATTGAATTTTAATCCGCATGATGTAGGGGCAGTCGCAAAACATTATGACCATGTGATTTTAATAATTTGACAGCTTTATATTTGGTGAAAACAACAGTCCCTTGTTTTGAGGCCACTCTACCATATCTACTTTGAGGTTTGCCATATTAGGGCTTTTATTTGTTTGTACAGTATGATTTGGTACATTGTCTATCACAATCACACAATTAGGTAGCAGGTTTATTAAAACTCAGTCGTCATGATAGTCGGATGATTTTGCTTGTGCCTTGAATAGCAATGGCTCATTATTAATGAAGCGGTCTGTAGTTCCAGCGTGTGCAATTATCCATCGCCTACCCGTAACTGAATCCTCTGACCAACACACCTTCTTCAGATACTGACTGCCAAAAATTTTGGACCCCATATGAAGAATGAATAAATGTTTTCATCTAAGTAGACTTTAGTTTGTCTGGAAGAAATTGCTGCATAGCAATAAGATCGCCTTTTGTTTTTCTCTTTGTTTGTTTCTTGCTATGTTGTTCTTTTAGTGTTCAATAAAGGGTATTGTATTGTATTGTATTGTAGACAATAGTCCGCCTCTCTTCTCAGGATTCTTTTAATTTCATTCAAGTAATTAAATTGTCAGGCAGATATATCTGTTCGTTCCACTAAAACTTTTCATTTTGATTTACACATTTTGTATTTATATCCTAGTTGTTTTAGTATTTTCCATAGTGTAGTACGCACACCTTCAAAATTTATTTCATGTCGCAATTCGACAAGTAATTTGTTCAACGTAGGAATTTCTTACAGTTTCTCTTTCTTGTCTCAAAATTCGGGTTACAGTAAATTCGAATAAATCATTAAACAAATGCAATTTTATTTTCTTAGGCCGTTAATAAAATTAGAATATTTTAGTAATTTAAGTTACGTTACTAATATAACAGTTGTATGTAAAAAAGTATATATATATATATACTTTTTTACATACAACTATTTTAATATCATTTAGCATTTTACAGACTGTTGTTAGTCTAAATCAAAGACATTTAAATAGGTAGTAGTAACATATATGTATATTTAAATCTCTTTGGTCTAAATCTTTGTAACTGGTCACCCTAAAAACATACCGGTCATGACGGAAACTCAGGCACGTTGTTGTAATGGCTTAATCAGCTTGATATTAGCCTTTTCTTTTTCACATAATGCGTAAACTTGAAGAATAGTTTGCCGTTTAGTAATTTAAACCACTTTCGACATTTTTTAAAGAAAAAAGATTAAATAATTTAGAAGCGAAATAGCACTTAGATAGCAACCGATCACATTCAAAGAAAGATGACGGATGAATAAACAGTGCTACCAATCACTCACGCGTCAAGTTAATATGAACGGACAGTAGTCATCACCGTAGACAGAGTATACCAGTCATCACCGCGCATCACCGTCTATAATAAGTCAGATTTTTTTTGGTAATTTACTTGTACGGTTGTTCTTTTGCCCGAGTCAAGTGATAAGAAATTAATCTTTTAATCAGTTTCTTCACACTATTTTGATGCGTTATAATCCGAAGTTTTATGTAATTACTTATACATAGTCTATGTATAGAGATAAGAGTATACTACGCATATACTATCTAAAGGCGTCTAAGTAGACACAATAACTTGAGTTTCATATTAAAAAATCGTACCAGTTTAAAAACCCATCCCTAACAGCCTATAGAAATCTACTGCTAAATTATAGGCCTCCACCATAATAAGTTACCTCGCAGGGGAGATTTTCCCATAATTACCACACTTGGTAACCACAGTTTTTATTTTCATTTAGAGTAGTTAAAAGTAATAAAATTAAATAAAATTACGATGATGCTGTTAATCTTCACCTCCTTCCATTACCTCTTCCAACACCCACGGGGCCGGATATTATTCTTTTACACCTTATAATAATTATAATTTCAAGGCATATGTAGCAGCCTCTTTCTTCATCGTTTACATTGTTTATGAACAGGAACTAGAGAACAGGAGAACGACCACTACGTACCGTCCTTGAAAATTGTAGAATACATAGCAGTGCTGACGTCGGTGAGTAGTGATTGCGAAGTTAGCTGTTTATGAGTACAAGTAGGTGAAGTTAGTTGAATATTGTACAAATTTTCATTTCATTTTTTCGTAGAAAATTTTCATGCACCGTAATTTTGTAATTTTTAACAAAAGAAACATTTAAAAAATGGAGAAATATTTTATGGTGCGTGTATGTGCAAGTGGTTGAGCATCTGATCGGAAAAATAGACTGAAAATGACTTTTATTGACTGCACTTAGTGATCGCAGCGCCTCACTGATGGTGTCCATATTTCTGGGACACTATTTTCTACTGCGATCGTTCTCCTGTTCTCTAACCTTCATGTTAGATAAGTAAAAAGAGTGCAATTTTACGTAGTAAACATCTACGCATCGAAAGTTTTAATGAATTTTGATGTATTTATAACTTGTATCCGTTAAGGTACTTTGAGATATCATATACTGTCTGCTGGGTTAAAACTTTCATAAAAATTTCACAAAATCTTCTATTCTGACTATCTATATTATCTATATCTATTTTACTATTCTTATCTTTTATTATATATCTATATCTATTTATACTATCTTCCGAGAGCATAGAACATCAACTTAAACAAAATACATGTCCACAAACTAATAAGAAGTAATAGCGTACAACGTACATGTCATATTAGGCTGTATGACCATAGATCCCTAAGGCATAAAAAAAAACTATTATTTTGAGATGCTAACTACTTACCTACCTATTGCTTGACTTCAGTTTTTTTATTGTTTTATAATAGTGGTTATTATTATAATTATTTAGATTTGTAAGTAAATACATAAGCATTTGGTCTATGTGAAATTAAGAATTACCTTCAAACATATAATAGCTATGGAGGACATATATGATAATTTAGAAAATTACGATGACCTAAACAAAATAGAGGAGGTATCAGTATTACCGTTTTAGCGCCAAATATTTTGTCATTGGTGTCATAATTCCATTACTTTGTCAATATTTAATGCATATTAATGTACATTGTAATATACGTTTTTAGCTTAAAATTGAAAATAAGGAGCTGAAATGCAAAATTGAGGAGTACACCACTGCTATAGGAAAACTACAAGAAGTAAGTTCCACAATTTCTTTTTTGATGACTTGCTTTTTGATTGTGATTCCTGTAAATATTATTTATTTAAAAATATAATTTTATTTCATGCATATTACTTGTATAACATTAAATTGTGTTTTATTCGCCATAAGATAATACTACGACCTTCTCTTCTATCTACAGCCTTTATACTGCAATCTCATTTGTACAACATATTAATGTGACAATAAAATAAGTTAGAAGTTTTAGATGTTGAAATATTTAAAATAATTGTTATCTCTTTACTAATAATTTTTCCTGGGGGCGGATGCCGATTGATATTATAGAATATTTTACAGGATTTTGATAAGTTAGCAGCAGAGCACAAAAAACTAGAACTTAATTATTCATCTTTACTCAGAACTGCTAAAGCAGAGGTTGAAAGAAAAACACAAATGATAAAAGACTTAAATATAGAGTAAGTATCATTTTAAAATTCTTTTATAATTTTATATATTTTAATTTATAGTTGAGAATTTGTTTAATTGGCTATAAAAGAGTGGTGCCTCCTGGCACAAGTATTATTTAGCTTAAAAGGATTCTCTAATCACAATTTATGCCTTTCTTAGTTGTTAAGTATATATACTTATATCATTATTATTACTAGTATATAACTTTTTAAGATGATAACAAATTATTAACTTCTATGTAATTATAAACATTTTTTATGTTGTAATTAGTTTATATGCCCAAAAAGTATTTATTGTTCCCATACTGAATGAAAAAATTTAATAATATAATGAACAATTACAAAGCTACCTGCATTTTGTATCAGTCAGTCTTCTTTTTCTTAATTTTATAAGGACGGTATTATTAGTACTCATCTGGATGCTTGGTATTCCATTACTTTGTTTTCTTGGTATTCCATTACTGAGTTTTCTTCCTTGCATGACTTAGGACCAATATGAATTCGGCGCCTTCATAAAAAAAGCCTACTCCTTTTTAAAAACTGAGCCACACACCTGCAGTTCTCCTAGTGTTGCAATTGTTCATGGGTAGAGGTAGTCACTAACCATAAGGGGACGGGACCCCTTATGGTTAGTGACTTGTTGTTGGTTAGTTATGTGTTGTATTGTATGTAGTCATGGTTAGTTACGTGACCGCGGATCCTTGTTTGCCCAATATAATATATGCTTGTCTAAGCCAGAACCTCTTATCTAAGCCAAGGTCTAAGCTTTCCTCTTTCCTAAAAAAAGATAAGAGGAAGGCTTAGACCAAGACGAACTATGAGACATTTTTATTATTGTTTTTTATTTTTGCATACTAATTTAATTATGTAAACTAAAAATTTTCTTATTATGATTGTTACAGAAAGGATAAACTAGTGATTAATGCAAGGCTAAATCAGGGACAAAATGCCCTTAATAAATTTAGAAGGAGTGAAAGGCTTAAATGTAAAAATGAAAAGGTTTCAGACATAAGTGTTCCAGACCAATCAGTAGGTTTGAATTCAAAAAATCAAGTAGTACAAAATGAATGGTAAGATTACTTTCATATTTAAACATCATTTTGATTGCAGTGACCGTCTGTTTCAACACTAGCTTATTACAATTTTAAGCCAGTGCTTAACTACAATGTCCAATAGTGTAATCATTCATCGTCATCATCATCATGACAGCCCTTCACAAGTCCACTGCTGAACATAGGCTTCCTGCAAGGAATGCCACAAAGCACGGTCCTGAGCCACCTGCATCCATCGACATCCTGCATGTCTTACCAGGTCATCACTCCATCTAGTGAGGGGTCGGTTGTCGGTTCTTCGAGCTATATGGCAGGCCCATTGCCACTTCAGCTTACTAATCTGTTGGGCTATGTCGGTCACTCTGGTTCTACTGCGGATATCCTCATTTCTAAGTTTATCATGCAGAGAAACCCCGAGCATAGCCCTCTCCACAGCTCCTTGAGCAACTTTGAGCATCCTCATACGGCCAGCACTGAAGGACCACGTCTCAGTTCCATAGATCGTCACTGGCAACATGTACTGGTTGTACAATTTAGTTTTCAGGTTTTGAGGTAAACCTGACGAGAAGATCTGTCGTAATTTCCCAATCCCTGCCCAGCTGAGTTGAATCTGTCGATTGACCTCTCAGTCGAAGTTGGACTTACCTAGTCGGACTATTTGTCCCAGGTAAACATACTCTTTTACAATTTCGAGGTTAGTGCTCCCAACAACTACAGGCATAGGTGTGACATGGACAACATTAAACATGATCTTTGTTTTGTCCATATTCATCTTAAGACCTATCCGTTGGGAGACAACATTGAAATCATTGAGCATAGTGCTTAGGTCCTCCAGCGATTCTGCCATAAGGACTATATCGTCGGCAAATCGAAGGTGAGTGATGTACTCGTCATCGATGTTAATACCGTATCCTTTCACGGTGAAGAGTTTCGGGGAAATAACGTCACCCTGTCTTACACCTCTCTGCAGTTGGATAGGTTTCGTACTCTGGTTCTGTACTCGGATAGCCATCGTAGCCCTACTGTGTACATATCATAACACTTCAGCATTTCGATATACCAACAGTCAACTTGGCAATGCTGAAGAGACTGTAGTTCCGCCCAAATTTTGACAGAATCAAAGGCTTTCTCATAGTCCACATACGCCAGGCAAAGTGGCAGATTGTACTCTTCGGACTTGTGTACAATTTGCCGAAGGGTATGCATGTGGTCTATGGTGCTAAAGCCTTCCCGGAAACCAACTTGTACGGGAGGCTGGAAGTCATCGAGTCTGAATAGTGAAGTAAGAAGAAGGAATGATATCGCATAATTCTTGTGGAAAATCTTCTAAATTATTCTATGGGGATACAGAGTGCTTGGCTACTTTGCATCTAAATGAATGTCGAAGTTGGTTAATAACTAATCAAAATTACATTGAGATATTTTAGTGTGCTTCCTCACTGAGACCAATGCTGCTAAGCTGTGTTTTGCAGCCCCTTAGTGATAGAAGTAAATTTTTATAAAGTAAGGAAGTCTACCCTTGATTAAGAATCAAAATTTACAAGCATTGAGTTACTCCATCATAGTCCGGGTAACACCTAAGAAGGAATATCTTGTTTCCAGTAAAAAGCGTTTCTGTTTCTTCGCTTACCATATTGTAGAAACGCCAATACATGTGTCATGTGTATAATCACAATATGTGAGAGCATCCTTACCCATTTGAGCTGACCTATATATGTTGCTACCATATGCATAGCACTATCACGTTGGCTACTTCGGCACATAGCATAACATAAACATTAACAATAGCATTATTACCTCTGAAGACATAAAATGCCTTGCAGCATTTCTCTCTCTACTATATCCTTAAGAACTACTTGCTGTTCCTGTTTCATGGTTTAATCAATAGCATAAAGTGAAGTTTGTATGTAGAAACTATTTGATTTTGTGTATTAAATATCTGCATGTGAAATGTAGGTAGTGGTAATGAAGAAACTAGTGCTCCAATGTTGATATAAATCTTAAGTTATATTGTCCACTTTGGCGCCTTGAAAACTTGAGATACTGATGTCATTGAATGTCTGCTACCTTAAGTTGCTGTCGAAATTCTCCTGAAAATATCAGAATTTAACACATCCACAGAATGTAATGAAATAATTGCTATATGGTAAAGATGAAAAAAACTACCATCAGCTTTGAGCAATAGTGTTTTGTGAAGCTACATTGTACTAATATAGACCGACTCCTATGTCTCAGAAGTCTTTGTAGAATAAAGTCTTTGACTAGAGGCAACTAAATAAACATCAGTTAAGTTCACAGGTTTTAACTGATGTAATGATTTCAGTTAAAAATAACCTCTTTGTTGTATGTCCTCAATTTCAGGACATATTTACATATAGAGCAGGGATTGAATAACCGAAAAAATTATGGTACAGACGATAAGCGGTATGACGTCATACCTTTAAATTTCGATACCTTAAAATAAAGGTACCTTTAAATTACTATACCTTAAAGTAACTGTACCATTACTTTTTCAAGTATCTAAATTATAAAATAAAGGTATAAAGTATAAACAAAGAAATTGTACGCCGCCGCTCGAGCCGAGGCTTCACGCAGTGTCGGCCGCATTGGTAAGAGAGTAGGTAATTGATCGAAAATTTACGGATATTCGTGTCTCGGCAGCTAAACAAAGTAGATTGTTTTGCCATTTTGCCGCCATTCATGTTTCCGCGTATACTTTGTCAACTTAATCACAAGTGTGCTTTTTTTTTAAATTTATTTTATGTACACACATTAAGATACAGAAGCAGTCTTATAGTAATTTCGTACAAAGGTTCTACTTATTCCAAATTAGCTGAAATATCCTCCAGTAGACCCATAAAGGAAATTATATTGAAATTGCAAACTTAGTGCATACATTAGTACTACTAAAAAATAAATAATATACACAATGTTACGTAAATTATATAAAATAAAACAATAAATAAAAATAAAATAAATCAATAAATAATAATAATAATAAATACGATAGTTACATATGATATTCATAAACTAAAACTAATATAATAGAATAATATATATATAAATTAACAGGATGAAAAGTAGTTATCTCTAAGACATTTCTTGAACACCAACAAAGTTTCGGAATTTCTTATATTTGACGGTAGTGAGTTCCATAATCTTACCGAGTGAACTGCTTGTTATAATGTGTGCTTTGTTATAACTTTACAATTAGATTGTCGTAAAGTTGGATAAAAGTAGGTACAAACTCATTAAGCATTTCTTGACGATATTATACAACATTGTATATCTTTATACTTTTTTTAGATTGAGGCCGAACGAACGTAATTTTTCGAGTTGTGAGTGATGATATGATTGAATATGATTTATTTCAGAACCAGTCATCATGTGTCAGAATAAGCACCATCATTCCCTAGATATTTTTGTGAATTCGGAACGACCAAGGACTCCTTCTGCTCTACACCCTAAAGTAGAAAAACACCCGGAGAAAGATAAACATCGCTCTGAATGTTTCCATTGCATGGCTATCCAAAGAGAAGAAAGGGATCAAAGAAATGACATTTTTAGCTTCATCATTATCATCATTATATCCCTTCACAAGTCCACTGCTGAACATAGGCCTCCCTCAAGGAATGCCACAAAGCACGGTCCTGAGCCACCTGCATCCATCGACTTCCTGCATGTCTTACCAGGTCATCATTCCGTCTAGTAGGCCTACACTACGCCTACCGGTACGAGACTGCCACTCGAGAACCTTTTTTCCCCCATCAGTTATCGGTTCTTCGGGCCGAATGGCCGACCCATTGCCCCTTCAGCTTACTAATACATTAGGCTATGTCGATTGCCCTGGTTCTACTGCGGTTTCTAAGTTTATCGCGCAGAGAAACCCCGAGCAAAGCCCTCTCCATAGCTTGCTGAGCGACCATGATCGTCCTCATACGGCCAGCAGTTAAAGGAACATGTCTCAGATCCGTAAGTCATCGCTGGCAACATGCACTGGTGTACAATCTAGTTTTTAGGTTTTGAGGTATACCTCACGAGAAGATGTGTCGTAATTTCTCGAACGCTGCCCAGTCAAGTTGAAATCTCCTGAAGACCTCTCGGTCGAAGTTAGACTTACCTGGTCGGACTATTTGGCCCAGGCAAACGTACTCAACAACTTTGAGCTTAGTGCTCCCATCCCAACAACTACCAGCATAGGCTTGACATGAACATTACACATGATCTTTGTTTTGTCCATGTTCATCTTAAAACCTATACGTTGGGATACACTATTGAGATCATTGAGTATATTGCTTAGATCCTCCAGCGATTCCACCATAAAGACTATATCGTCGGCAAATCGAATGTGAGTAATGTACTCGCCATTGATGTTAATACCTTTCCAATTCAGTAGCTTGAAAACATCTTCCAATGCGGCGGTGAAGAGTATGGGTGATATAACGTCAACCTGTCTTACACCTCTCTGCAGTTGAATATGATTCGTAATGACTCGAAAACAGCACTTAACATCGTAGCCCTACTGTACAAACACTTCAGCACTTCGATATACCGACAGTCAACTTGGCACCGCTGAAGGGACTGTAGCACCGCCCAAATTTCGACGGAATCAAATGCTTTCTCATATACGGTTACGGTTGTTACCGGTTGGCGGTATACGCCAGGTAAAGTGGCAGATTGTACTCTTCGGTCTTCCGTCAATCTGCCGCAGGGTATGCATGTGATCTATGGTACTGAAGCCTTTTCGGAAACCAGCTTTTTCGGGAGGCTGGGAGTCGTCGAGTCTGCGTGCGAGACGATTCGTAATGACTCTCGAAAACGGCACGCAGACGCGGCTCAGAAGGGAAATCGGTCTGTAGTTCTTCAAGAGAGCGTAATCGCCTTTCTTTAAAAACAAGAGCACTGCACTTCTGCATCAAGCCTCCGAGTAGTGCCACCATGAAGGACGAAATTGAAGAGATTTTGAAGGACTTTAAATACCGGTTTTCTGCCCGCTTTCAAAAACTCCGCTGTAATTCAATCTTCATATATGAAGATAATAATATAAAGATGTGATAGAGAGCCTTCTTTTCTTGCTCAGACTGACTTTCGGGATATCATCGGAATAGTGTCGGATTAGACTTGCTCTTGAATCGTTACTCACATTTGCGTGTGGCTCCAACGATAATGTGTTCAGCTGCTCATAGAAACTCTCAATCTCACTCAAAATCTCAGGTGTCCCGGAAACGATGTTGCCACACTCATTCTTCAAAGACTTTGGAGCCCTGGTTCCATTCGATCGCTTCTTCAATACGAGCAATATTAAAGTTGCGTAAGTCTCGCCGCATGCATTTGAAGATCTGTCTGTTCAGTTGCCTGTATGCTGTCAAATCTGTTGACGATTGCAGCCTCATCTCCCGTCTAACAGCCATGAGATTAAGAGTGTGATCGGAGAGTTTTTGTGTTCTTCTGCGGCGGGTCTTGCAGAACTTAGCTCCGACCGCACAGAGAGTTTCCACGAGCTTGTCATTCATATCGTCCACTGCATTGCAATCTTCTAGGCACTGAAAGCGGTTACGTAACTCGAGTTGAAAGGTTTCAGGATTCTGGATTAGAGCACGAGGGGGGACGGAGCGTTGACTTCTTTAGACGAGACCTCTTCAACTTAACGTTTAGGTTCAGTGTACCTTTAACCATTCGGTGATCACTGCCAGTTTTCATCCTTGCGATCAGTGAGAAATCACTGACCAGTTACCGCCTCGTCTTCGTAATAAAGTCAATCTCATTTTTTATCGTACTGTCGGACCTCGACCAGGTCCACTTTCTGTGGAGCCGCTTCAGGAAAAAAGAGTTCATTATAAACAGTCCCTCCTTCTCCATGAAGTCGGCCAGCTGCTGGCCCCTGTGTTCCGTTGCCCTAACCCAAATTTACCTATCGTCAGCTCACCTTTCTTCCTTTTGCTTAGTTTTGCATTGAAGTCTCCCATTAACACCGTATAGTGGTTTTTATAAGAATGCATGGCTCTAGAAATATCTTAGAGAATATCTAAAAATGTAATAGATGTTGGTGCGTAGACCTGTATGACCTTGGATACCGTTTGGTGATTCTGAATATGAGGTACGCAACCTTCGTCGACACACTACAAATCTTTACAAAGTTGTTAACGAGAGACTTGTGGACTATAAATCCAACACCTCCTTGGGACAGAATGGTCGCCCTCCCGGTGATAGAACAAGCTGCCGGATTCAAGAATCACCGTGTCCTCCTCCTCTCTTCGGACCGCGGATGATCCTTTAATATTCAAGCGCTACTTGTCTATCTCTTCTTCCAGCTCCAGGATCTTCTTGGTAGTCCTCAGGGTGCGTCCGTTGTTTGTTGCCAAGTCGAATCGTCTTAGGTGGCAATCGATACTTCACCGGAGATTCTTAGCACCCCTATCCCGCCTTTACCATGTTCGCCACCTAGCCAGGAATAGCGCGGCCGCCGTGGAACTGGGGGCCGTTTACTTGTGTCGTTGCTCGTGGGGGGTATTTCCATAGTTGCCACGCTTTACGATTGGGTTGGCAACTGCAGTTTTTTTTGTTGTACAATTGATGTTATCAGGAAGATGCTGCTGCCCATCCCCTGCCGCTTTCCCTCTGTCCCCCTTTTACGACCCCCACGGGGATTCTTAACCGCCACTACACGGCAGTAATTTTTAGCTTAGCGTTCTTTATTCGATCGCTCTCAGGGCCGGCAAATGTTATACGGTAAAACGGATGCAAAATATAAAAACTTGTATGCAAGCCCGTGTGTACTCAAAAATATTAGTATTCCTACATCCCTTGGAAGGGAAGCACTTTAAAGATGTTCCTTTAACGGATTCTGAAGAGCTAGGTTAAGAATTGGTACCCACATGTTAAACATAATATTACGTTTTTAATTAAATACTTTACTGATAATAAATAATAATACAAATATGATAAAGATGTTTTATTTTCTCCGAACATGAAATACAGTAACATAGGAAATCCAAATCGAATGAGTCTCATAACGTTAAGCAAGGTCCGAGACACAATACATATAAATAAGCCTAAAATACTCATTTTTTTCGGTACCGAAATTATTTCGGTAAAGGTATTAGTAAAATATAGGTATAACGATACCGTAAAAAAATATAGGTATAATTCTTTTTTTTAACGGTACCACAACCGTAATTCTCAACCGTTTTGGTTCTACCTTTAAATCGAAGCTGTATCGTAATTCTATACCGGTACCATACCCTTATACCTTTACCGCTTTCAACCCCTGATATAGAGTGGCACAAATTGCCACAGTCACTTGAAAGGGAAGGCTAAACTGGCCTGTAAAAAGCTCATGCAGCTTTACAAAGTACAGGTTCAGCCTCATACTGAATATTGCTCTCATCTCTGGGCAGGACACCCTGTACCAGCTTCTCTCATTGACCATATTTATTCATTTGGAGAACAGCTCGAATAGCTGATAACCAAATTCTTTCTGATCAGCTTGATCCACATGTCTTACAAAAATACATTACATCTCTATGTATCTTCTATACCATATAGCAAGAGTGCTTAGAAGAGTTCTTCGGATTCAGAATTAGTATTACAGCTGATGAATCGCATCATCATACACTGCAACAGAACTTAAAATTCTATCTACATCATTTTGATGGTTTTTGGACCACTGTGCGTTTTACACGTAATTTGCTGCAATCCACAACTACATTGTCAAATTTACTGTCACCAGTCAGCATCTTTTCCGGACCAATGCTATGCAAACACTATATTATAGTTCGTGATATTTTGAATATATTATATTTCTGGGTATTTAGAAAATATTTAGAAAATATCCAGAACACATAGTTTTTATTAGAATATCTATAACTATCCTTTTCTCCATTTTGTACTCTGACTTCATGTGTTGTAGTTTTACAGAGTATCAATATAAGTTTTTTGTATTTGCAGCAATAATGATAATCATTTAACATCACTGGATACAATTTCCAGTTCCAGTACAAATGGAAACGTCAATCATGACGCGGAAAAATATTTAGAAAACAAAAGTAATAATCTCGACACTAGAAATCTTACATCAAAAGAAAATAATATGCAGATGTTAAATAAACCCCAAAGTAGACAAATTGAGACCAAGCTTAGAAGAATTTCGAACAGACGGAAATCCATGCCAGTATTAAGGTAATTGCACATTTTGATTATTCCCTTAGTATTTTTTTAAGTTCAATTTTTTTACAAATTATTCGGTGCATAATGGAGGTCTTATAAATGAATAGGAATTTGTGTTAAAAGATTTGCTGCTTAAAAGTTGTGAATGCCATTAGTGTATCCACTTGTTAAAGATGAATATTATGGCTAAGTTCCCCACTGCTGGACATGCACCTTTTCCATTATTTCAAGGATTTGCCTTAATCGCCACGCTTGGTAACACACCATCTTTCAAAAGAGGTCTTAATGACCTTTTTCATAGTTGCCTCTTATGACACAAACTTATATATGATATTCTTGTCCATTAGTAACAACAGATTTATTGAAAACTATTTGTGGTTTCAGTAGTCATGACATTAAGTTCAATTCTGATGAAGAATGTGAAAATATTGTTATGACAAAAGAAAATAAGAATTACCATCAGAAAAATGAGGATGTGTTGAGAAGATTTGGCGAAAAAAATTATTCCAACAATAATAAAATATCTGAAACCTTAAGTGTAGAAAGTAGTCACTCTCATTATCATGATTCCATAACAAATCATTCTAAAAATAAAACCAATCGGTATTATAAAAATGAAAACCATAGAAATAGGGAATATTCACAGAGACAAAGGTGGCAATCCAGTCCTGATAGATTACATCATAGAAGTGTGAAAGATTACACAGCCGATAATTACCAAAGATATGAGAATTACCGAAGAGCTTGTGAAAGCCCTCCACGCGATAAATATTATAGAAATAGGAGCAGAGACCGTAAATCAAATTATGAAAGGGGATATCATCGCGACTTCTTACATGGAAATGATGATGGGCGATATGGCGAGAAACATAAATATCAAGATGATTTGGATGAACCAAGTTACAAACGACAGAAAATTGCACATTTACATCACAAGCATAGTGAAAATGATAACATATCGCAAAATATAGATGATAATATAAGGCAAAATGTGGATAGTAACAGATGGCAAAATGTAGATGATAGCAGACGGAAAAATGTAGATGATAGCAGATGGCAAAATCAAGATAATGACAGATGGCAAAATGTTAATGATAATAGACTACAAAATTTAGATAGTAACAGATGGCCAAATATAGATAATAACAGATGGCAAAATATAGATAGTAAAAGAAGGCAAAATGTAGATGAAAACAGATGGAAAAATGGAGATGATGACAGAAGGGAAAATGAAATGGAAGTTTCCAAAAAAGTAATTCCAATGGCGATAGAACTTTCAGAGCATGTATCTTGCCAGTCACCTGATTATGTACACACTGAATACCGTACAGACGCTATTAGAGGTAAGCATGTAGTATTTTGTAATACAAAAGATTATAATTATAAGTTAAGAGTGGAATTCTATAATTTAATAATTATATCTCATGTTTGTTGTAGAAATTATGAACACTGCTGTTATGCATTTAGAAGATCCAAGACTTACTAGCAGAAAATACAGAGTTATAAATGATAATAATAAAGAATTCATATCAACTGTTACTGGGAAAAATGTAGATATAACACCCGTCAATAAAAATCTTTGGGGATTTGAACCTGTTCCAGTGCCAAAACCATTACTCGAACCACCCTCTAGATACACCACAGAAGAGCTGGTTAAAAATATATACGTAGATATTGACAATCCAACTTCTAACCTATCTCTTGAATCAGGTGAAATTTCGGATGTAGATGACTACATTATCTCATCTAACACTTCCGAACATGAACTACTTGAAAAACACGCAAAAGATTCAAATATTGCTGTTGATAATAATGAAAAGTTAAGCAACATTGAAAAAAACAATGATAATAATTATAATGATACGGCGAATAAGTCGTTAGTGCATAAATGTAAAACTGTCAAACTACAAAATGTTTCGGAAACTCAAGCCAAGTCAGAAGCAGTTGTTAGTGATATAAATTCAGAACATACTGAAGGTAATAATTCCACAACACATCGAACTGTGGAAAATGATACTGAAAATAGTAAAAGAGTCGAAGTTAAATCAATGCCGCAACTTAATGTTTCTTCTAAAAGTACTATAGATATTAAAAATATATGTAATATTAGTAAGGAAAAAAATGAAAGAAGCTCAGATTTGAAATTAGTAACTAAATGCTATAATGAATTACCTGTATCGGCAAGAATTGTTGAAAATGATCTTGTGTTAAGTGACGACACAAGTGATATTATTGAACCTAAGAGAAAAGTTACCAAGAAGCATAGCAAATCAAAAAATAAAAAAGATAAAATTGATAATTATACAGAAAAACAAAAAGGTGAAGAGGAGACAAAAAAATGTAGGAATGTTCCTAAAGTTCTTACAGAGACTGCAGCCAAAAATAAAGAAAAGTCTTTAAAAGTAAGTAATAAAAATTTAGAAACATCTACAGAACATGGTAAAAGACATAGAAGTGACACAGGGAAGTCCCAAGGCAATAAGGGGTCTGACGTTGATATATCTAAAACAAGTAAATCAGAGAAGGATATTCAAGATAGAACACCTAAAATACAAGAAATTAGAACAAAGTTTACTGACCTTTTTGGGGATAGTAGCAGTCTAATAACACCAGATGATTTAGGAATTGTTTCTGCTGAAAAAGAACATAAAGAAAAATATGTCACAATGTTTGAAGATACTCAAGATGCCATGGATTTAAACATTAAAGAAATAGAAAAAGTAAAAGGATCAATATCAAAGGATGTTGATTCTGAAGATAATGGTAAAGAGGAATGTGAAAAGATACAAACGCGTTCATCGAAACCAAAATTTATTTGTGCGTCAGTAAATCAATGCAAAGAAGGTGAAACACAAAAAACAAATAAACAATCAGTTAAAATGACTGAAGAAAAGTCTTCTACCATTAAAGAATCCAGCGATATAGTTAACATTTATGAAAATGTAAATGCTGAAACACCAAATGTTGTAAAAACAGTTATTATTTCAACAGGAATACAACCAGCAGCTTTATGCGATAACAGTAATGTATTTACACAGCCACAAAATGTGAATTTTCTTGAAAATGCTGCAAAACCAATGATCAATTCAGCTCCAAAAGCTTTAGCCACTTCGACGCCGGCTAAGGTGGCACAACAAGAGCAAACACTAACTGATTCTACAAAAATTAGATTACCACCAGATAGTTCAAGTGCTTATTCTGATGACAGTAGGATAGTGGAAACTTCACAAACAGTCAATGATTCGTCCGATCTTAACGTAGATCGCCAGAAAGATGTAGATACACCTGATGTTAGAATTTTCGTGAAGAGAAGAAGAAAGGTGAAAAAAATGACACCATAAGTTATATATCGTATATGAGAAATTGGTTATAGTTGAATAACATAACTTTATAATAAGGAGCTTATAGTTCCTTTGATATTAAAATGAGTGAAAAATTTGTTAGGAGACATTATTTATGTTAAGTTACTCATCTTTATTTAAGTTAAAAGTCTGTTAATGATACATTTTTCACTTATTTATATTTCTACTTAATTTTAAGGTTTTAAATTCAACGATAGTAGTCGATAGTAATATTACATTCTATCAAAAGTCCTCTGCTGATGAACTGCAGTTTTTATTCAGCTGTTATCAGTCTGAGATCTGTTGCTGTTCATCTCCGGGTTCAACTTCCCCCTGGCGCCTCTTACGACACTTACAGGAAAGATATGGGGTAGTGGATATTCTTACTCCACCACTACACGGTAGAATGATAATTTTATAAAACTATATACAAAGTGATCGTTTTATAATATAATATGAATTACATATGAATTAATGAAATTATGTTATATGTTAGCTACATATAGAAGTGTTTGGGCTCTGTCATTAAGACTATTGTTACATTTTCATATATATGTATATGATCATAGATATGAGGAAGCTATGACAATATTAGTTTGTACTATAGATCAAAACCGTGGTAGCTCAGTGGTTAACGCTCGCTGTAAATATATCAGAACGCGAGTAACCCGGGTTCGATCTCCGCCGGCACCAATGAAATTGTTAATTGCAATTTTAAGTGCTGATTTACCACGTGCTCGGCGGTGAAGGAAAACATCGTGAGGAAACCTGCATGTCTGAGGAATAAGAAAAAAAAATATTTCGAAGACATGTGAAGTTCGTCAACACGCATTTGGGCAGCGCGGCGGACACTTCCTTGCCCTAAACCCTCTCAGAAATGAGGGGAGGCCTGAGCCCAGCAGTGGGACGTATATAGGCTGTAACTTATAGATCAAAACGTGCCACCGGGGGACTGGAGGGGAGTGTAGCCATACACTGGCATTCCCGTCTGACAAAGTGCAAGTCTACGCAGTCCTGTGCGTATAATAAAACTAGTTACAACCGCACTGCTCACTAGACTAAATCTTGTTGCGCGACTTAGTCGTCCTACAAAAATGCCAAATGGTTCAGTTCTTTTGCTGCAAAAAGAGATCTGCTACATCAAATTTCCACAACCATGTTATCTTTCATATAAAACTTAAAGTTACTATAATAATGGTAGAGTTGTTTTGGATTTGTTTACCGACACAGGTCGCATGCTCTCGTACAATATGCGGATCGGTCGAGCGACTGATTCGAGTCTGAGTCCGAATTGTCACTTCACGGCGAATCACGGCGCGATAGTGTTACAATGTCTGTGTGTATGAAAGTGTTAGTATATTGTTTTGTTGTGTGAACTTCGTAGTGACAGATGATTGTTTTTGAGTGCGCAGATTTTTCGTTACAAAAAATGACAGTTCTGTATCGGGGAAAAAACGCCTATACGCCCCTCCGGTCACGGTAATATTATCTATACAGTATTGTAACTCGGCCGTATCTTTGAAATAAATGCCTACAGCAGCGCGGTACGTAAACATGCAATAGGGCTGCCTGCCTTCAGCATTACATTTGCCTACTTTGTGTTTCCATCTAGTTTTATGATCGTAAATATACTTTTTTTACATAATCAAATATAATAAGTACTTTGAAAATTCAATAGGAAGTGTTCAATAAAAATGCGTATCGTTTATTGATTGGTAGATTTAATTAAAAAACCATGTTTATGTTTGAATAACAAATCGGTCTTATGAATTTGCGACCGAAAAATATTTGCGCCTCGGCTAACGTACGAATTACTTTATTATTAAATCTTTAAGTATAAAAAATCCGCATTATAATACAAAGCTTAATTAAAAATTATTTTGGGAAACATGGACAAGGTGGAGAAAAGTAATATCTTTTACTTTGATAAAGAGGTATCTATAACCAAGTAAAAGATATTTTATAATTTATATGTTTGGTTTTAAATGAAGTTCGCATTTATTATTTCTTTATTTCTATTCTATTATTTATTTCCTCCATTTTTATATATATTCCACAAAATCATCACTGCGGCACTCACGACTGTCTGCATGCCGAGCGCATGCCGAGATCGAGGCGCGTAGGCATAGCTCTCGCTTCGTCCGTTTGTATGAAGTTGGAATACTGTATAGATAAAATTACCGTGCTCCGGTGGCCCGTGTTGCCCTATGGTTTGTAAATTTTACTCATATGCACAAACTAAACTCAGTTTCCTCATATTCTATTAACCAAATAATGTTATGAGAGACATGGTAGCTTAAGGGCTAAGCGCTCGATGTCAATTTAACTGTACGCAAGCAACCCGGGTTTGATCCCAACCGGCACCAATTAATTTGTTAGTTGCAATTTTAAATGTTAATTTACCATGATCTTGGCGGTGCAAGAAATAATCGTGAGGAAACCTGCTTGAAGAAAAAAAATATTTCGAAGACATTACATTACATTTCCTTGCCCTAAAACCCTCCCAGAAATGAGAGGAGGCCTGTGCCTAGCTGTGGGACGTATATAGGCTGTCACTTCAACTTTTATATGATCATAGACATATATATGGAACAGCGAGCATAGAATCGTACTTACGATCATGTATACATTTGATTATGTAATAGCTGCGTTACTAAGAGTTGTTTAATAAATTAGAAGTGCGATTTCGCCTTGATTGAGCATAAGGTTCTTTGAATTGTATATGGTTTAATTATTTGTAAGATTTGTGTGCCCACCATAACTACTTTCATAAAATATTTAAAAAAAAACAAATGATCAAAGATGATTAAATTGAAAAAAATAGAATAGAGGATAAGAACGCTACAAGAAAAATTCATACCAACTGTTAAGTGTGAAACCTCTGTTTATCTCTGACCATTGGAATTAACTAGGTATGTAATGTATATAAATTATCATAACATTTTTGCCGCATATTTATTTATCCACAAAGGTGTATATTTTGTAAATAAAAATGTGATTTATACCCATAACAGTCTTTATTTTCATAATAAATATTCTTGAACTATATGTACAATTATAATATTTTCTACACATTTATATATAAATTAAAATTGTCTACAATTTTGATGACATTTGGCAGTTCATTGCAATTACTAAATTAAGAGCTTTTTTAATACTTTCTAAAAAAACATTGTGTAAATGGAGTGTGACTGGAAATGTATGGTACATTTTTAAAGAATAGCACCTTTTTACAATGTTGTCCCCCCTTTTAAATTAGCCATATAACCCATCCACAAGTCCAGTTCTGTACTTAGGCCATCAACAATGTGAATTCCACATAAATGATTCTGAACTATATGCATCACTTAACTGAGGTGATCCTTTAATTACACCTTCCGTTTCCAAGGTCACTAAAATTTTTCATTCTTGAACAATATTTAGTGTAGAAACTTCTCGACAAGTCATATTGGATAATAAATGCTTACTGTACTTTTAAGCTACGAAGGAATATACAATGCACAAGAGTAAATACGAATTCATCCACACAACAATGGATGTGGAGTGGTCCCTTTGGTATCCATTTTGTGGATTAGGGTTTTTCATCATTGAAGAATCGTCAACAACAGATGCATATTTGAATGCAGTGTTAGTTTTTTAATCTATTCCGTTTATAACACAGAAAATAAGTTTGCAAATCTAAGGCGTTTAATAAATTTTTCATGGAATTGTCATTTGTAAGACTTAAAAGTTAGGGATTTCACTTATTATATAAACTAACTTAGTCATATCTCAAACTGTACATTGATACATACATACAATTTGATAGAGATAACAGTATAAACATGTTAATCTAAACTTTTAAATTTCACTTGTCCTTTAAAAACTATATATCACAATCACAATGCTATAAGCAACATCTGTTATTACTCGATAGGGTTCCTATGATATTGTTCGCCGTTGGTATATCGTCGTTTCGGGAAGTAGAACTCGACGTACTGGGGCTGACTCCGCTAGACCGCTTGCCCAGTTTTTTTATAACTGTGGGTTCTGGCTCGCTGGGCTGCGGAGTAACATGCTGATAGCATACAGCCGAAGCGTGGCCCGAACGTACGGACGTTAGAGGAGTGCCTGTCTTCCATGTGTTCGTGGTCGGGTCGTACACTTCTACTATGTCCAGGAATGATGTTCCATCGTAACCACCTGTAATTAAGGAAAATTCAAGATTCGTTAATAGACTCCATATCAATAATAATTAATGGTTCGTATTGTGAACACTGATTTTTACTAAAACAGTGACGTTATTAGGTCTGTTTGGTATTATGAGCTATGAAGAGAAGCGCAAGGCAGCCTCAATAGTTAGTGTTTGGTGCAGCTATATAAGTAGTATAGTTGTAGCACGATTGGGTCAGCTGGACCGGGGGAGGACCACGCTCTCACAGAATACCAAGGCAAAACAGCAGCTTAACGCTGCTGTGTTTCGTATGGTGAGTGTAGAGAACCGGAGAACTTTTTTACTGGAAATGAGACATTCCATCTTAGTCCTGACGTGTGACAACGCATCTGTATTTTGATTTGTAATCGAGGATAGATGTAGATGTCTATGGGCCACAGCAACCACTTACCATCAGGTAGACTGTGTGCTCGTTTGTCACCCTATCCTATAAAAAAAGGGTAATAATATTAAAGAATTTATGGTTGATAAGAACCCCTGGGAAAGGTGATCGCTACCAAGCTATTTCCAATTTGTTTTGTGTTGTTAATGACACACACGATTTTAATCTGTTATTTTAAAAATTCTATATCTTTGTGTTGAAAGTCAAGATGACTCACAACTTTGACGCTGTCGCCCTTTGGGTATTTTAGCGAGGTTTTGGTATGGGAGGTTTGGTTGGGTATCTGCCGTAAACGAGATGGTATACCACCATTTTAGTACGTTATCCTACTTCACAAATTCTGACCAACAACAAAGACAACTGACGCCAAAACCCTGCTCAACTTCTACATATCACTCTGCACACATACTCAACGATTTTAGTTCATATCTCTGTCCCGTCTGAGTTCCCGAAATATGATTTTCTTTCAAAGTGCACGAACAAGAAGACTGACTATATCCCGCGATAGTCAAGTAGCCGGACATTGTTACTGGGTACATACCCAGTGCGTAGAGTTTGTTGTCGAGCACGGTGAGTGAGAGTGCGGAACGAGCGACTTGTACGGGCGCGACCACCTCCCATGTGTCGCGCTCCGTGTCATATCGCTCCACCGAGGACAGTTGCTGTGATCCGTCATACCCACCCACCACGTAGATGTACTGATTTAGAGCCGCCACACCTGAAATGACACTATGCTTAGCAGATCATCGATATAGGACTTGATTTTAACTCATGACCGAGCCACGAAGTTGGTACCGTGCTGAATTCACACCTGCAGGGCGCGCCCCACGCGGTAGTTCAATGATAAGCCACTGCGCCATGGAGCCGTCATAAATAAATTCAGATCATGTTCGTGCACTGATTCCTAAACATTTTAGTAATAATCATCTTCCTTATTAAAATAACCATAAAAATTGCAGTCAAGCTAAACAAGCAGTGCCTGCAATAAAGCGCTAATACGACTAAAGGATTCGCAGATCCAGATAGTAACCAGTGAATTATATGGTTATTTTAAGAAGCCCTTGTTTACCACAGACATTCAGTCAGACAGGATAGTCCACTTTACAAAGCTTGGATGAGGGAAGAAAAAACGGCGGTACACGTGCTGCTGGTGAGTTCTGCTGGAGGTCCCTACTGACAAGGCTAAATTTGTCGCTTCCTTAAGTCGTCAGTAAGATTAAGGGTTATTAAATTTCTTTGAGGAGATATCACGGCCCCAATAAATAAATAATTTCTGTCCACAGGCAAAATACGCGTTTTGGATGTAAATTGCGAAAAGAGTTCGTTGCAAACTAACTACATTCAGAATTCAGATCAAGGTAAATAATAATTTATTTAATTAATTAATTTCCTTTTCTCCCTAACCCTCGACAGGGGGGACCAAACTTTACCGTGTGGTTAGGTTTTCATTTAAATATTTATTTAAATATACATGTATTAGTGGGTGCGCGGAAACGACGAAAGGAATTGGCGGTGCGAACGATTAAATGGACTGTATTAGCGTGGTTCAAAGGGAACCAAAACAAAATGGCGGACGCGGCACGCGAAATATACTTGCTATGAAATTAATTTTGCGTTGGTCGACAGACGGGATGTGAGCTGCTGCGGAAAAGGAACAACAAATAAAACAGCTCACAAATAAGGACGGGCACTTACATGGGGAAGCGGAGAGCGGTCTCTATCTACGGCCATGCGGGCACTATGATAATTGCGAACTGTTGTCGGCACACGACGAAAATTGTACTGCACTGGCGCGCCGGTGGCGCGCGTGTCTTCTTACAGCTTCCACCATCTCACCGTTCCACTTGGCGGAGCGCTCCTCCCATTGGAGGACCTAAGATGCGGCTACCATTATCTAGCTCCACCATTAGGCAAGCCCGTGCGGGGAAGGAACGGAAGTGAAGGAGGTTATGCCGGAAAACTCAACTAACAAAATACACCAAAAATACGAAAATGCAAGGGTGTGCGTTGACGCAATCAATTGAAATTATATTCAACATATATCTTATGTTACCTGTTATCTATTTCATATTTGTAATTCCCAACCAGAGAAGAATAATACAAAATATTTATAGGTTTACTTATTTCAAACATTTTGTGTCTATAGTATACAAAGAAATACCTCGTTTGAGAAGAAAAGCAGAATAATTTAACATTAAAAATTACAGATATTCATTGCATATGCACAAAATTCAAACGTGTTACAAAATGACTTTAGCTAGATATATAGTAGTAAATAATGTTGGTGGGGAGTACCGGCTCCGCTGCGCGCCACGTGCATGTCGGAGACGCGCGTCCATCGGTTGTTCTCGGGGTGGTAGCACTCGGCCGAGCGCACGCGGCGCGCGCCGTCGAAGCCGCCCACGGCGTACAGCAGCCGGTTGACCACGGCCACGCCCACGCCCAGCCGCGCGCTGCCCATCGCCGCCACCTGCGACCACGAGTCCGTCTCCGGGTCGTAGCTGCGGACCAACGCGCACGCCATCCAGTCGCTTATACACTGAGCCGCATCATGCTCGTATGCTTATATGTACAAATACATACTAATAGCCCCTCACGTTTTTACGCGCGGAATTTATTAAGATTAGATTTCATAGGGCTTAATTATTTTGCGCGGTACCCTATTTTTTTTTTCTAAAATAAAAGTAGCCTAAGTTATTCCATATAACATCGGTCATCTGCCAATGATAGTCCCGCGAAAATCGCTAGTTTTTATAATATTGGAGTGACAAGCGAACTTGGAGTGAGCGTGATCGAAGTAACTGCTGCAGTTCAGACACCTGCCACGAATATTTAACTAAGAAGGCCACAGATACGTTATCAGTTGTCACCTCTGAGAACATAATATTTGTTTTCGTCCATTAATTTATTAGAGTCTACTCGTTTTATTATTTGTATGTAAATATAGAAGAGGGGCATAGTCATATTATGTAGCAGCACTGCAGCTATATTAGTACACTGATCTCTACCTATTTAAGGACTGGTACCTAGACATAATGACGCCATTTGATTTGCGCCATTTTGGCGCTGACAGTAGAAGTGAACGTCCACGGAACTAATAATAGAGATAAGACAGTGTGACAAAATATAGCAATAAAAATTCTATACCCTAACTACATCTAAATAAATAGAATGAACGTTAAGGGTAGGCCTGTACCCGTAGCGTCCATTCCATTTATGTATCACATTAATATAATACCATTATCATTCATCATCATTACAGCCCTTCACAAGTAAACTTCTGAACACAGGTCTCCCCCAAGGAATGCCACAAAGCACGGTCCTGAGCCACCTGCATCCATCGACTTCCTGCATATGTCTTACCAGGTTGTCACTCCGTCTAGTGGGGGACGTCCTACACTTTGCCTTCACCGGTATGAGACTGCCACTCGAGAACTTTTCTTACCCATTGGTTATCAGTTCTCCGAGCTATATACCCGGCCCATTGCAACTACAGCTTACTAATCCGTTGGGCTATGTCGGTCACACTGGTTCTACTTGGGATATCCTCTGCATAGCTCTCTCCATAGCTCGCTGAGCGACTTTGAGCTTCCTCATACGTCCAGCAGTGAAGGACCACATCTGAGGATAGCCGGGTTGCGCATCGCCAATCGCCATTCCTCTTCCCTTGCGACTCCACCTCGACTGCAGCAGTACAGGGAGAGGATTTTCCACTAGCCGCGGCTCACTAACACACATAAAAGGGCTTGATAAGCCCACTCAGAGTGACCACTACTTTTAGCATGGGTTACCAAGCCATGGCTACTAACCCCATTATAACAAGGCGGGAACCCGTTCAGCGAGAAGCTATTTCTCACCTAAACTCACGCAAACTTACTAAGGAAATTAATAATTTCGTAGTCCCAATATATATTTATTTCCTTGATATAATAAATTGGTCAAATTTACGTCTTGTAAACACAAAGTCATCATCAGGTGACCTTTCTACACTTGGCTATAGCCTTTGATTTTGGGGGAAAATGAGAAGAAAATAAAAAAAAACATTCAAAATAATAATCTAACACTTTTATAATACTTATTGCACTTTTTCAAAGTGGTGCGTTTCTCATGTCTTATAAAACAGTCGTCTGTGAAATGTTTAGAACAAAGATGATCATTTTGTTTCGGATGCCAATTCACAATATTTTTGCTTTTAAGCTATAATTTTAGTCTAGATTCAGTTGGAAACCTGTCAATTAATAAACATTGATAATTATCTGTTGTCCGCGACTTTGTTAACAGATATGGATAGGAAAGAACATCGATAAGTATTATAGACAAGGAACTCGACAACCCTATAGCATTTCATTGTTTATCAAAACTCAGTAATATAAAGCCAAACATGTTGGTAATAATTTTTAAGTACCTCTATTATCAAATATAATAATTTGTTTAATATTAGCTGTAAAATCACTTGTGGAATGTTATAACACTTTAATTTTGGTAACGAGTTTTACATATTACGCACACACTCTTTATTATTATAAATAATTCTTATTATGTAACTAAAATTATACACAACCAAACCACATAACATACTTTCGTTGTTAGTTTAAAAGTTCGAAATACAGAGATAAGATTTAAATAAGACAATATACTTTGGCATATTGTGTCAATATTAGTTCCCGGGACGGAAAATAGTGGCGCTAAAAATCGGCACAGACATTTTGCATGGTATAGCCAGTCCAGCGTACTTGTATACAACGTGCAACAAAAACCCCTGTGGTTCCCGTTAACTGCGTTATCAGAATCAGTATTCAAGCGTATAGAATTTTTTTTCAGTAAACTGCACCATAACGTTTTTTTTAAATTTAATAAAAAAGATATTTGCAAATTGTTGGTTTTATTTCATCTATCTCACACGAGTATCGGTAATGTGTGGTCTTCGACAATCATTGACGATGAATGCAGAGATATAACCACATACAATTTGCAATATATTTTCTTTAATTATAAATAATTTTTAAATGTTCTTTTTTGAAAAAAAAAAATATTTCTATACGCTTGAATACTGTTTCTGATAACGCACTTAACGGGAATCGCAGTGTTTTTGTTACATGTTGTATATAGAGGTCAGTGTAGTTGTAGAACGAATGGGTCGACTCGACCGGGGTAGAACCACGCTCTCACAGAATACCAGCGTAAAATATCAGCGTAATGTTGTTGTTTTTCGCATGGTGAATGTAGAAAACCGGGACAAGTTTTACTGCAAACGAGGCATTCCATCTTAGGCCTCATGGGTGACAACGCATCTGCATTTTGATTCGTAATCGAGGATAGATGATTAGATTCGCCGACGACACCCACAGGATGATATGGTGTTGTGGGTGTTTTTACACCACCACCACAAGGAAATACATACTTGTATTGTTTCAATTTATACAGAGAAAGAAAAATAAAAATCTTTAAATCACTTTTTTTTAATTTTTAATTGAGGGTAAATGTAGAAGTCTATGGCCAACAGTATCCACTTACCATAAAGTGGACTGTGTGTGTTTAAAAGTACAACCTATTTCTATTTATTTATTGTTGGATTATCCCACGAGTTTATTGTTACGCGCTAAAATCGGCGCACTAGCGCCATCTAGTGTCAGGAACGAGAGCGAGGGGAGCTTTGCAGTAATGATGATGTCTATGGGTCACAGCATCCACACACCATCAGGTGGACTGTGTGCTCGTTGTCACCCTTATCCCATAAGAAAATATACGTTTTTGACCAACATGACCCATGTTAATTTAATTCTATTCATTCATGCAGCAAACCATTTACTTTATTTGCGATTAATTTTACGTTTTGCATATAAATACTCTAGCCAAACATTCAGGGTTAATCTCAAGTGGTTTATGAATATTTTCTTCTGTAATCCATAAGTAATAAAGTATCTTCGCAACTGAATGCAACTTACCACTCAACTGATTTGTGATACTCCGAGCCTGCAGATCCGCCAACTGCATACAATAAGCCGTCCATCACTGCAACACCTACCTGTTGGATATAAAATTGCAGTTTAGCTAACTCTTATATAGTCGTTTTTTTTATTATATTAGCGTGACTAACAAACTAACAGTCTAACTGACAGGAAGTGGCAACTACCACCATCAGCAACCAACATCAAAGAAAAGAGGCTCAAACCACTTACCATTGTAAGGGGTTACTCCAATCCATGAACTATTAACAAGCAGGGCTACAAATGCTTTTTCACCTCTAAGGCCAAAGATGGAAAGCATCACAGCCAGTAATTATGCTGGCTCTCCACGTAAGAGGGCGGTACGCAATCAGACATATTTAGATGAAATGCCTTACAGCCATTTTTTTATAGAATAACGGTGACAAACGAACACACAGTCCACCTGATGGTAAGTGGATGCTGTGGTACATAGACATATACATTTATAATCGATTAACAATCAAAAGACAGATGCGTTGTCACTCCTGAGGACTAAGATAGAATGCCTCGTTTCCAGTAAAAAAGGATCTCCGGATCTCTACACTCACCATACGAAACACAGCGGTATTAAGCTGCTATTTAACGCTGGTATTCTGTAAGAGCTTGGTCCTTCCCCGGTGGAGTCGACCAATTCGTGCTACAACCATAACATGGCTGCAGCGTGGCTCTACCATGTATGAAAAGCCTGTAACCATACTATCGGTCTTACCTTTCAAACTGAATCATTGCTATTTAGCGACTTAAATATGTATGACCCATACAAATTTCTAGGCAAAAAAGCAGCCCGAAGTTTTAGTAAAACATTTTTATTTATTATTTTATTTCATAAACTTATTATTTATGATTTTGTTTCATAAACTTAAAATATCGATTAAGCCGATTTTACCGCCGAAGCGAAGTCAAATTGTTAAAGTTACATCCTATATACGTTTTACAGCTGGGCACAGGCCTCCTCTCATTTCTTAGAGGGTAGAGGGAGGCTGGCACGGAAGTGTCCAGCGAGCGGCCCCAATGCGTGTTGGCGAACTTCACATGTCTTCGAAATATTTTTTTCCTTTATTACTCAGACATGCAGGTTTCCTTACGATAATGATTTCTTATATTTACGCGAACACTACACATTAATACATGCTGCCCAATGGGTACTGGAAAGCACCCGAAACGTCGGGTATTAAAAATAAAATAAATAAAACGCGATAAAATCCGTAAAAGTAGTTTTAATCAATTTCCTTACGATGTTTTCCTTCACCACCGAGCACGAAATTGCAATTAATATATTTCATTGGTGCCGGCGGGGATCGAACCCGGGTTGCTCGCGTACTGTGAAATTCACAGCGAGCGCTAAGTCCCTGAGCTACCACGGCACAAGCATAATTGTTTATTTAAAAATCGGTTGTACCTTGGTTTGATTCCCTCACGGAACAAATAATAGCATGGCCTACAAATAATTGTCCCGGGTTTATTTAAGAAATTTACGTAAGTAAAATGCCTTAATCATTTAAGAGAAATTTAGGTCAACGTTATACGGATGTTATACGGAAGATATCGAATAGCGACCTCACATTCATGGAGTTGTTAGTAAAACTAATTGGATTGTTAGTGAGGGCTAATAATCTTCCTCTCACCAGATGTCGCAGTTTGGACTGAGGTTAAGATTTTTTACACAATTCCATTTCATTGAGAAGTTAGTTTTAAGTGTATCAGTTTCTATATTAATACACAAAAAATACCTCAGTGGTTTACTTTTTAATTTCTTACAAATTTTAAATTCTTTTTTTAGTTTTTTAATTTAGGTATATCCGCAGTTCGGTTTATTCATTTAACTAATAAACTAGTTAAAATAAAGTAGAACTAATATTACAGAAAGAAACATTAGCTTTAACATTTTCCTAACAAATTAACTTTCCCGTTATGAAATCTGTCAAATATTTCAACTTATTCCAAAGTGGTGCCCTCACTGATAGATAAGTATGATGTATGCTCACCCTGTGCCTGGGCGTGGCCATGGGGCTGCAGGGCCGCCAGTGCTCGGTGGCGGGGTTGTACACGTCCACCCAGTCGCTGTCGTACGACGAGCCCGGGGACGTGTTGCGCCCGCCCACCGCATAGAAAAGTCCCTGCGTACGTACACGCGGCTTACAGTACACGCACACACCACATCGTTATTAACCTTTTTATTCGAAAACGTTAAGCATAATACAGAGTCAGATTTTAAGGCGATAGAACAAAGTGCAGACCACATAAAAAAATTTCAAACAAGATAAAAACAATTTTATGGAATGTGTCATTCCTTTTTCATTTTAAAATATTATGAGAAAAAGCGATTTTTGGAGCTCTCAGGCCGCAGGCCTTCCGACCTAAGAAGCTGTAAAAGACAAATGGCTGTTAGCCTTAGCGTTAACATCATCATAAAGCAAATATTAAAGCATATTATATATACTACACATTTTGTTCCAGAGGATGTCTATCCACTGTGGTAACATATACACATCATATAATCTACATATAATACAGCCAACTACAACATAGCAGAATACATAGACAAAAAATTCAATTTTTTACGAATACAAATGCAAATGCGGGCCTAGGTATTTAGCGACAGCCTGGACAATATTAAACATATGCATATTTGTAACCAGCAAGTGTTTGTGTGGCTACAGGGACGCCATAAAGATATGGAATTTTTTTTGGCGCTTAAGAGCGCGTATTGAGCCAAAAAATTTTGCGATTTACCCTTTTTATACAATAAAAGTGACAAACGAGCACACAGTCCACCTGATGGTAAGTGGATGCTGTAGCCCATAGACACCTCCATTTAGCCACGATTAAGAGTCAAAACGCAGATGCGTTGTCACCCCAGAGGACTAAGATGGAATGCCTCGATTTCAGTAAAAGATGGTCTCCGCTTCTCTACACTCACCACACGAAACATTTTACGCTGGTATTCTGTAAGAGCGTGGTCCTTCCCCGGTCGAGCCGACCCATTCGTGCTACAACCATAATAATAATAATAATTTCTTTCAAATTTTCAATGTTTATTCTTCTAACCATCTTTGCAAGCTGTATAACGTGTGCATGTGTATAAGTTTATAGTTACTGTGTGACCGAACTTTAATAGATAAAAATTAATAGTTTTCTGAATAGATGTGTTTTACACGTAAATTTGTATGTAAAGTAAAACATTATCTAAGAGTACCAAATTTCCCCCAAATCGTACATAGGGCCCGTTTTCAAGAAACAAGTTATGTACATATAAAATATACATATATATTTTTTTTCATTTTAATCATGCATAAAAGTATTTAATAGTGTCGCGCGCTATAATTAGCGCCCGGTTTATGGCAGGTGATTATTAGCGCCATCTGGTATCAAGCAGCAAAAATAGGAGTGTCAAGAGCTTTCTAGAACTCTCCCACTAGCGCCATCTAGTATCGAATAGAAGAACTAAGCTTTCTAGAAAACTCCACACTCGAATTTTCTACATCTAGTCGGTCGGAACCGGTATTTGCTGGAACATTCTAGATGTTTCTGTGAAAAAGGCCTATATAAAGCCGTTTTGGGCCGCGACCGGGACAGTATTGAATTGGCGATACAAGCGAAGCTAAAAAAAAACAAATAAAGTGTACTAAAGTGATCAGTGTGATGTTTTGGTAGTATATTAATAAGCAATGATTTTCTGTAAAAATACGGTAATTAAACATTTTTTGAACAAATCTTTGAACTTATGAATAAAAAGTACATAAGGCACTATAAGATATACGTAAGGTTGTTTGTCGGTTCGTTTACTATAAATGTATTTTCTAAATATACATGTCCAGGGTTCAAATCCCTGATTGTTATTTTTTTTTTAATTGATTTTTTAATTATTTTCTTTTAATTCGTTTATTTGCCAAATTAAAATTTGTAATTAAGTTTATTGTTCGTCCTTGCTTATTTATTTCCTTCAATTAGTAATTTAGCGACAAACAACAGAAAAAACATTATTTTGCATCGCAGATAACGATAGCGCTTGAGTTTAGTAGTAAGCAAGGAATATACTACTCTCTAAATAGTAAGGATCGAAATTTCTAGGCCAGTCTACTCTAAGAAAAATACATAAATACGACAATTTTCTCATTGTGCTTTGTTGTTCGCCATATTCTTATTGACCAATTTATGTACAACGTGTATAACACGATCCTTTTCTGGCGCGGTCGTGGTGCACAGAAACGCTGTGTTGTGTTCCCTTCTCAACACTGCCGCTGCAACCACAGAACATATGTACACCAAAAGGGGTGATTGCAACTGATGCGTGAAACAAAACATATTTAGTCTCGCGTAGAGTGAGACGGACGAGAATTTATTGCACGGAATAAACATAATATAGTAAGCGTCAAATGCTTTTTATTCACTAAGTCGAAAAATTTAATTATTATATAATAGAAAATATAACATATTAGAAAAGTAATGTTATTTATTACATTTTTGGCTTGACAACATGCACCACGACCAGAGCAAATCGATTCATGATGAAAATAAGAGGTAGCTTTGTGATTTTTTTATATCGAGAAAATTTTATTCTATTATGTTTTTAACCAATGACGTCACTCGCAATTACGATGTTATATAAAACATAACATAAACACTCACGCCTGTCACCCAGAGGGGTAGGCAGAGACTACAAACTTCCATTTGGCACATGTTATGTCCATCTTTATATTTTTTGTTACTTTGTACCTGATTTAGCTATGTAATAGCATCGGATCAATGATTGGTAATTTGTGCTTGTACGCGTTGTTAAGGTAGTCTACTTTTCTGGGTGGGAAATTTTGATAAAATATGATCTAAAAGCCATAGAATTAGTTAAGCTCTGTTAAAATTTGCCTTGAGATGAAGTTTTGATCGAGTTTCTCTTAAAGGGCTCATGGTTTCCTAAGTTCATTGGCGAAGTAGTATAAAACATTTTTCGCGTCGCTGATATTTATTTACACCGTCCCTTAGAGGATTTCCGGGCGGTATTTAGCCCATTCAAACGTATTCATCTGTTTTCTACATAACACATCAAACAATCTACGTCTATCATTGCAAAGTTGATATGTTTTTTCCCATATACTAGTCGTTCACTTCAAGAATGCCGTTACCTCCCGCCGCGCCCCCTCATTCCGCGCCTCAAGCGTCGCCCTTTTAGTACCGATAGCAACGTCGAAGTGTACTTACGTCCGTTTTTTATGCTCCCGTACGTTCTCTAGTTTGTTACTGTTTTTGCTGTTGTTTTTGTTACTGTTGATTTTTTGTTTTTGTTTCAGTTGTGACAGTGACACAGAAACAAGCGATTTCGAAAATCTTTAATTTGATATATTTAAAATGTAAAATAAAACTATAAAAAAATATTTTATTTTATCGAACACGTTATTATTTCATCATCATCATCATTTAAAAAATATTTTATTTCATCTAACACGTTATTATTTAACTTTATTGAAAATATGAATACTAAAAAACATAAACATGATGACTTTTTTCGTCTACGGTACCGTCAGCTGTGACGTCGTAACGGTCTACGACGGCAAACTCGAAATGAACGCGTAGTATTAATTATTTTAAAATTAGGAGGTCTCTAAAATTACTAAATCTGCCAATATTTACCCCTGTTATTAGAAGCAAGTAAATTTGAAGAACATAACAATAAAATAAAAACATACAGATATATCCAAAAACCTTCTTATTTATCTTAAAAAATGTCTGGCTTTGTAGGCACAAATTAATTTTTCAGATTGGAATGTATATGTGAAAAATTGGATTAAACTTGAACGATGGTGGTTCTGCTTTGATTGGCAAGGCGGTTGAAGCGTTTAAGCCGCACTCAAGACAGCTATTACACCAAATGAATCTTTTTATGTAAGCTTTTTTAAAACTGTAGCTTAAATAATTTTGCCTAGCACCTGGCGCTTAAATAAAAAGAGTTCTATTATAAAGAAGAAATAACATTATGCATGTAAAATGAATCCATGACGGCAGTTATTAGGTACATTTCTAGTTTTAAAACTAAAACTATAATTCTAAACCGATAACTATCAGATGTTTATTAAATTATGGACGGTATGTTTATAAAATGCGGTCGTTAAGGAGCATGTTAGGGCTGAATCTGAGTGACGGTGAGAAATTGTGTGATAAGAGAAGAGTATGGTATGCAAGATGATGTTGTGACTAGGATTAAGAAAGGAATGCTTGGGTGGTTTGGTCATGTAGAAAGAATGAATGCGGAAGAGTGACAAAGCAAATTTATGTTGCAGAAGTGAACGCCAGAGTCGGTAAGGGACGCCCTAGGCGAAAGTTTGTTGACCAAATTGACGACCTACTGAAAAGGGGTCAAATTATGAGTACCCTTAACCGACGAGCATGTACGCGTAAGTATATGAATGTGGAAGAGGCGAGAGAAGTGTGTCAGGATCGTGCCAAATGGAAGGCTGTAGTCTCTGCTTACCCCTCTGGGTGACAGGCGTGAGTGCTTCATGTTTTGTTTGTTTATTAAATTAAAGGTATATGAATGTGGAAGAGGCGAGAGAGGTGTGTCAGGATCGTGCCAAAAGGAAGGCTGTAGTCTCTGCCTACCCCTCTGGTTGACAGGCGTGAGTGCTTCATGTTTTGTTTGTTTATTAAATTAAAGGTATATGAATGTGGAAGAGGCGAGAGAAGTGTGTCAGGATCGTGCCAAATGGAAGGCTGTAGTCTCTGCCTACCCCTCTGGGTGACAGGCGTGAGTGCTTCATGTTTTGTTTGTTTATTAAATTAAAGGTATATGAATGTGGAAGAGGCGACAGAAGTGTGTCAGGATCGTGCCAAATGGAAGGCTGTAGTCTCTGCTTACCCCTCTGGGTGACAGGCGTGAGTGCTTCATGTTTTGTTTGTTTATTAAATTAAAGGTATATGAATGTGGAAGAGGCGACAGAAGTGTGTCAGGATCGTGCCAAATGGAAGGCTGTAGTCTCTGCTTACCCCTGCCACCCAGAGGGGTATCTGGGTGGCAGGCGTGAGTGCCTCATGTTTTGTTTGTTTATTAAATTAAATACTCCTCAATGATGATACCTTAAGAAAAGCAGCACCAAGACCCGACCGTGGCACAGTGAGCCTCGGTAACGTGGTCCAGCAGTTGTCGTCCAGATTGAAAGCTTCAAACACGTCGATAGAATGCCTAAAGTAACCCCCGGCTACGTAAATAATTCGCGGAGTGTTCGGCCTCCTCTCCTTTACTACCGGTTTCTTATGTAATGTCAGATCCTGAAAAAAAAAATATTTTAATTAAGAGAATATCTGACCTACAAGATATTTGCAGAATAGATTTGAAACAAACATTTTTTGATGGTTTTTTCCAGGACAGAGGTTATTTCAGATCTAGTGCTCAAAGTAAGAAAAATGACTTTCAATAAGAATTGTAATCTATATTGAAAAAAATTTTTTTCTATTCTGTCTAACGATTTATTGCTGTCGAGAGCAGCTCAGACTGATTATACCTATGAAAAATTGTCGAAATCATCGTCCTATATTAACCTGTTTCCTCTTCCAAACTTCGACAGATTTTTATTATTTGTCAAGAAGAGAGAGAGAGAAAAAACAGTTTTTCTAATATTGTTCTTGTTCTTTGTCTGAATATTTTTCTTTTAATTTTCATGGAATTTTAATGTTTACAGCCTGGTTGGACAAAATACCGTATTTGATACATCTTAAGGGGATATAGTAAGTCAGCTCAAATTCTAATTTCGCCCCCACTTCCCCGCGCGTTGTATGTTATGTACCGATATGTTTGTAATCACTAATACTGTAAGTAGAAAGGTCGTTAGACACTTATTTCATTAGGTTTATCATATTTATGCCTGTTTCTTAACGCCAAACCAGTCGCTTCTTATTTTTATTACGGTTATTTCCCATTTTAATTTTACGTCGTCCTGTTGCGTAATGTGTATTCTGATTGTAAGCGACACAACCTCCCCCTTCAAAGGCCGAAGCGAAACTGACCGGGCGGCAGAAATCACGATTCAAGAGGCCGATAGTTTATGTAATTTCTTTTTACAGTGAAAATAATGGTATTTAAAAAAAGTAAATAACATAAGCACTGCGTTATAGATAGTTCAGTTAGTATGCAAAGTTTCATGATCTTATTTAAAGTATTTTATGAATAACAGCGGTTTATTGTTTATTTTGGAGGTAACTTTGGATTTTTTTTCTATCGAGAAAATTTCATGGAATCGTGTTTTCGTCTAACATAATCCTTAACATTAATCCTCAACTTTACCAAATATTTATTTCAAAATTAATGTTGCAATATTTTCGGCATAACGGAGGATCTTGCCAAGCCATTTGAGGTTATATTTCCCCTTAACGCTCGAGAATAGAAATAGTCCAGCGAAAAAAAAACATGCGCGTACGTGAAATACTCAATGAAATTATTAATCGAATGGCTTTTTAAAATTTTAATATTCGAGTTCTCGTTTTTACGCGTTAACCTATATTTTTCGATAATATGAAAGGCATGTTATTGCGTTACATTTTTAATAGACTACATTGTTATTCAGATACTTTATCCTGATAATAACTTTTTGTCACACGCTTACGGGTTCGGCAGAGAAGAAGGAGCTAATTCATTCTTTTAAAGTTGGAAAGCTTGCCCTAATGGAAATGAAAAGAAAATATTATCAAAATATACTTCAAATTACCTTAAAGATTTTGGCAAGGTATTCCCTGCACGCGGGAACTTTTTTCAGCACTGTGCAGGAGTTCATTTGCTCCTTGAGAAAGCTCGGGGTTAAATACTGACACCGCACCGCTTGCAGAATATGCTCCATGCGAGGATAACGACGGTCCTCGTCATACTTCACCTGTAAACGCAATCGTAAGAAGTTTTAATGACGTATTTAACTTTTACAAATTTCCCAAACAGTGCTCGCCCGCTGGTCCATCTATGGACATATCTATGTATATATATGCAGTAGACTTAAAAAAATAGAACCAGGCGTGTGTCATGTCCACATGTATGTCTCCTACACAGGTTCGTGAGCTTTGGGGTATGTCAAAAAACCGACACAGTTCGACATGTAGCAAATGTTATGAAAACTGTGCATAGTATTATGATAACATTTTCCTACACAAATACATAATATTTGTGTGATATGATACTAAATGATAGCCGCTAAGCTTTGCGGATCGATAATCGTAGTGCCTTATACATTGACAGATAATCCTGCCCAACTGTCTTAGGCGTTGTCGTAGGTGACAACTTCCACGTGTAGCGACACAGTGTGACAATATTTAAAAATAATTGTGCCTACTACGCAAGCATAATAACGCGAGACCTGAGTCCAATGATGACGAAGCGGGATGCTTGTACAGTGTGCGAAAAGCGGACCGCACCGTCTTAGTTCGTGAGATAATTTAAAGAGATTAACGTTCGTCGATCGTTGCACAAAAAGGGTGCACAAGGGGAGGCGCGATGTGGGTCGGGCTAGGACGTCGCATTCCACGCGAGTCTTATGTTATTACCCGCAAAGACGCAAAAGAGAACTATGATTTTCTCAGTCTATACATGAATGTATCTTGTAGGTATATGTATGTATATTTGTTCCTTTGTGGCGCTTTATAGACCAAACGCGTGGGCCGATTTTGATGATTCATATGCCAATTGATTTGTCTTAATTTTGTGAATGTCGCTGAAGACATGACAGTAATCAAAAATCAATATGGTGACAATTAGACGCTATATTGTTAAAAAAATTACTATTTTATTTTATTTTATTTATTTACATCCAACTTATATCTAACATTACGGGTTTCTACCCAATGCGATAGATAAAGCACTATTTACAATCCTATATTACCTATATTACTTTATTAACTTATAGCTAATCATCCATAAAGCAAGTTTTGTGAATTCGTTCAGAGTACAAAAGAATAAATCTGTTTCTCTGTCGATCAAGTTTAATGTTCGAAACGCTCGCGTTACGGGTGCCGTAAGTGTAGTAAGTTAGTGCGACACCTAGGGACGGCCAGTAGGTCTGGCTGATGCCGCCGCCATTTATATACCTTGCCGGTACACAACTGCGCCCTCCTTTCTGCCTGCGCCCTCCTTTCTGCCAAGGAGGGTCGCGTTCGTATACGGCTTAGAGATCTCTAGTCAGATCGTTAAGCCAATTACCAAAAGGTTGAGTTTAGTGGGTAAAAGTCTCCACATAACCACGCAGCCGGCTGCGTGGTATGCTATGAGCATTCTCAACCTCCCTCCCCCGCTTTCCGGAGGGTTGCCCATATTTGCTTCGGGCGCAAAAAAAAAAAAAAAACAAATATTAATCTTCTTCAACATATTCTCATTAATAATCCTACCCCTAAGAACCATAAAAATATATGAAACTATTGAAAACTATTATTTACGGATTTTATGGTGTTTAATTACTTTAATCTATTTTTATTATCCATATTTATAATCATCTTATAAGCATCTTTGCCTTTTAACTCAGAAATAATGACGAGAATATCGATCACTAATAAAAACAAGATACACAATCAGTGACAAAAACGACCTCACCGAATGAGCACCCATTCGAACATTTGGGTGCGCTTTTAATTTAGTTACATTCGAACGCCCAGACGGTAAACATGCCTCAGTGCTCGTTTAAAAAGTGTAAAAATCATACATCCAGGACGCTAAAAAAGGATGGAATTTTCTAATTTCGGTACGTATTAATATTATCATTATTTAATTCTTATCACTGTATTGTAAATACTTATATTTTGTCAAGAAATCTCCATAAAACATTTTTTAAATTAAGTCTTAATAAAATAAGTCATAATTGTTCGAGGTATGTGCGTTGACTCTGTTCCATTTGTTGGAGACGTTATTATTTTTTTATTATTAAAGTATGATTGTTTTTTTTTTGTTTAATGAGACTTCTATAGTTTCTCTAAATATTATAGTAAAATTTTATAGACTTAATTTTGAATATGTGCATGTAGTAAATTTAAAGATGTGAGATTTTATTTTCCTCGAGATCCAGTTAGGTGTGCGGAATGGATTTCAGTCATAGCATGTCAAAGGTCCGAAGAAATCTTCAAGCCGACCCAAGGAAGCGTTGTATGTTCGAAGCATATTTTATAAAGTGATGAATATGTGACTACGACTTACTGTACATACTTTTTATATTTAAGATTTAAGTTCTTTGACCAGTGGCGAAGCTTCCATTAAAGCCGAAAAGCCGGGCTTGCCTTATTAAACCTGAATCAATCAATTATATCAACTAATAAAATAACTCGTAAAATGTTTCAAGCTATTTCAAATTTCCCGCGTACTCCACTGTTCGACACATGTCGACCGATGACCTCGTTTTGCCTTAGCGATACTGCTGCTGTCATAAAAAATGAGTTTTAATAAAGCTAATACTTGTCTCCCTCGCTCGCGTGGGCTTTTTACGGGGCTTTCGAGAAGACGATCGCTTTCTTTCTAACCTATGGCAAAATATTCTATAATGAAATATAACTACGATTGTATATATAGCAATTAATATAGAGATTTAAAGCCAGGCTTTTGGGAATAAATTTGTTAAAAGCGGAGGCGCGCGGGCAATACGTTTGCAAGTTCATTTCACGTTTCAATGTTTATTTACTCTGTGTGCTTATCTTAAGCGATTTAATATTACGAGTTCAAAATTTATGCTTTTTTAAAGATTTTTAATGAAAATGGAGGATAATAGTGTTCCTTGTGATGAATTGAAGTGTGTTAAAGTGATAATCGGAGAGGAAATCTTTAAAATTTGTGAGATAATACACAAGGTTAAGAGTGTATTTCAGACTTATCAATTATCGCAATTAAAAAACAGTTATTGGTACAATTAAAACGTTCACCAACATTTACGTGGACGTAATTAAATCTTTCCATAAGAAAGCGATACGATTCCACTTATCTTATCTTATCTCTTATCCATTAGAATGTAAATATTTTTTTTTAATTTTGTACATAGTTTGTTTGTACTTTGTTCGTGTTTTACTTTTGTTCATGTATTGTATTGGATGTAAATATTTTTTTCTTTCGCTTAAACAAACCCAAACGGCTTTCTTCAAAGCCACCGAAGCTATGCAATTGCTGATATGTAATACAATCTATCTAGCAGTGGTATGCCTTCTGTGTGCTTTGTTAAACACGTCCTTGACAGCACTGAATATGAAACTGAAGCGTGGAGACAGATCAAGATTGGTGTATTTTTATAAAACTGCTAAAAACAACAATCTATATTTTTATCAATTTATATCTTGGGCTTGCCCTAGCTTGGAGCTCTAGCTTCGCCACTGTCTTTGACAAGCAATATTTTTAAATTATTGACACAAGATGAAGAATAAATAAATATTGATGACTGTTTCAAATACTTTCGTTATTAAATGAATGTGGTGTCCTATCCAAAAAGTATTTACATTCAGGTAAATTATAACCATTACATATAATACACCATAGAAAGGAATAGAATATGCTTTATGTACACCAGTTTTTAAAACAAGTTTGAAACATTTTAAAATTAAAATAACAATAACAAAAAATATTGGGCAGTTCCTTGATTCCTTGCCCAATCTACGAGCCTCGGTCATAAAAAATTATTGCTTTTCGTACGTATCTTTGTGAATACAACTATAGGCAATGTATTTAAGGTTGAATTTACATAAATGTATATTTATTTCAACTAGAATTACGTCACAACAATTGGCGACAGTTTTTAGAGAACTTTTGTATGGGATTGTGTATCTAGTTCTTTATTAATGATCAATGGACGAGAAGAAGAATAGAAGAGGGTAGCAGTAACTAGATACGTAAAAACCAAATTTGTTCAGCGTCAGTTCTTATCGCAATCTGCTCATCTCTACAATAGACTGAACAAAGATTTGGATTTATATCACTTGAACACATACAAATGTAAACAAATAGTTACAAAGTATTTATATACTAAAACATATAACGACACAGAATGTTTATTGCAATATGCTAATTGATTTAATTTTATATTTATTATGTTGATATGTTGAAATAGGTTTTGGTGAACGAGAACTGTGACAATTTATACGAACTTACACATTCACACTCACACAATACACATATATATTTACACAAACACACACACTCACACACATGCGCGCGCGCGGGCGCGAACACGCTCTCATGCTTTTTTTAATTAAGATTCAGAATTAATCTATTTCAGGTAATATGTAAATTGAAAATATTGATTGTTGTTTTGCCTTGTTTTTCACTCTAAACTAATGTTAACATTAATTATTTTTATAAGTGTTTTTCCAAATTGTCTTCACAAACACATTTAAAGATATTTAGTAAAGTAAGGAAGAGCGGGACCACCTGGCACAAGTATTATTATTACTTATAGTCAACCAAATCTAAGAAATACATTTTGACAGCTGTCAGACTTATTGCACCAAGCATGCCAACCAAAAAATGGCAAAGTACAATATTCGATTCTTAAAAAAAAACGAAATCGATTATTTAGGGTTGGTAATCATTTAGTTTGGTTTGAATAATACCAGAATAACATAAAAGCGGATAATTTAAAACACAAGATTTATCAGTTTCTTTGTATTTGTTGTAACTTCTTACTTCTAGAGCCACAATTATAAAATTTTTAGATTGAAACTATATTAAAAATAAATTTATTAAATCACTTTCAGTACAACTAGTGGAGATGTCGTTGTTTATATTAATTATTATTTGATTTTCAATAATGCAGTCAAAATTAATGTCTCTTTCAAAGTCATCCATAATCAATTTTTTTGTTTTTTCTACCATTTTTGCCCAATCATCCTTTGTGACATGGGCACATGCTTCAACGAATATAGA